ACATTATTAAAGTACAATGTATTAGTTTTCTGTTTCTTCATTGTTTTACGACAATCGGACTCAGCTTTTTATATCAATTTATTATATCATGGTCGTTTTATCAAGAAAGTCGGTCGAAGCATCAGTCAACAACAAAATGGTTCTCAATTAGGAATTCACCTTAATCTTCGATGCATGAGCATATGGCGGGAGCGACGGCCTTGTGGTTGAGGTTTCTGCCGTTAAATCGAAGGATTGTAGGTTTGATAGTAGAGAAAACCGGAATCCCTAAACGACAAAATTAAAAATGTTGCAGGCTCGGTTTGATTGCGCCTGGTCATGGACGGTACCGAAAAAGCAAGATACCATCCACGATCACTAGCACCGCCTGAAGCAGTATTCAATATTTTAACATGAAAAAAGTAAAGTTTTGAATTTTGAAACATTTGCACTTGCTAAGTCAGGTGGATTCATATATGAGGTAAAATGTGCCTAAGAAAATATAATAAATACCTTTTTTCTTTCATATTGAAATAGAATATAACTCTTATCGGCTGATACTAGATATTGACTGGTACTGAACTCATTCTGAAAATGAGAAAATTTAGATATTAGAAAAGGTCACAAAGGAATTTTGTCAATATTACATGGAAAAAAAGACATTACTCGCCCTTGCCAACTATATCAACTTTAATACTTTCTCGTAATGATGGGATAAACAAGTGATACAATTCAAAAGTATACTACTTAAGATACTTATGTCTAAATAAGATTTTAAAAGAATGACGAAACCCACAAATAAGGAAATACTAAATATTAAACTTGTATTAAACTTAGGTACCTTAGAATGGCTCAAGTAATAAGTTTTTCCATCAGCCACATTTTTTCAAATAGTAAAGGCAAGATACGTTGATAAGCTTATGCTTATACATAAATTTTTTATGTTAAAACCTTTTTCATAGATATTGTAAATGTTCAGTTAACGCTATTAATGCTAATTATCTTAACTAACTATAATCGTTTTTTCTGCAGCAATATATGTTCATTCTTCAGTATTATTTATGTCTTTGAACTATATAATGTGCTTAGCTGTTCATCATATTTGATATTTGTATTGAAACAAGATACTGTGTTGTACAAGTTACAGAATAAAAATCCAGTTATGTTCTGTTATTTGTTTCGGAACGTGTATCAAACCGACAGTTTTACAGGTGTAAGGGTTGATCATTGTCGTTATTTTATATTCATTCACAGACGGCGTTCTTGTAAGGTACATCGAAATTTGTGTAAACAAACTAGGTGGTTAGCGTCAAACTTGCAGCTTTGTCTTCGTGGCCAATTGATCCCATGTTAGTAACTCTAACATCCCGAAAACAGAAACCCAGATAACTCATGCAAAAAGTAGACACACTGTGGTGAAGTGTGTACTTTGTATACTTACAAAAGGGGAGCTGTCAAGAAATTGTGTAGAAAAGTTTGTTTCACATTCAAAATCTATCAGTTCGTTTTCACTAGTTTTATACATTAAATGTCTTCCATCTGAAATAAAAAAAGTATATTTAAATGAACTCCTCCGAAGTTATAAATTGTAACAACATAATTGAATTTCTTGCATGCTTCAACTTTGGGCACTTAAAACGGAAGATATAAATAGATAATAGAGTATACTTAGAATTGATTTTTGTGACATTCTTAAAATGATCTGATTTAAAGAGTTAACCGCATTTTTCAATTCTTGGTCATATTTCACACTTGTAAATAACCATTCTAGAAATACAGAGTCAGGGAATGATCTTAAATTTTGCACACAATTTATATATATAGACCAACATCAAATGGCACATGAATCTCGGAAAAATGCTTCCAGTCCTGTCATGTCAACAACAAAAAATCAGTGAAGACCCTTTAGTGTTTTTCTTTGTATTATTGTCTTTTTTCAGTAAACGCCTTAACAAACTTTTATTGGGAAATGTATATATGTATTTTATCGTATTACTTAACAAAATTACGTTTTATTGTTAGTGTAGTGTTTATGTTAAAATGAAAATTTAACTGTTAGACCGAAGTAAAATATCGACAGCAACTGAAAAAAGCTTTGTCGTGAACATTATATTATATCATTATATAAATGTTCACAAACAATAAAAACTTCATCAATATTTAATTGGAATATCCAAATGATATATTTCTATTGTTATTTTTTCAATATCTGAAATACTTGTGTCAATTGTATACCAATTTACTTTAATTATCCAATAAATATATTTTTAAAAAAGCTTTGAAGAGTTATCTAACTAATTGCACGAATAAGTAGGCCGTTCTGACTCTTAACTGGTAGCAAAAGTATATGTACATTGTAGCATGCATTATCGACCTTTAGATCATGTTTTACTGCAAGATAAGTATTTCAAAATACAGAATTTGCTGCACATTTACTTAAATGGACTCTTGGGAAATGACAACAAATGTAAGATACGTTTATCACACAACCATAAATTGCAAAATTACAACGGATTCGTATTCCTTTGTATAATTTCTGAATATTGATGCTGTAAAACACTCATTTGTCATCGTTACAAAATTGTCAGGAATTTAACTGAGCGCCATGAAATACGCATCAAGCCGAGCGTTCAAAGCATCAGCATTGCAAATGAAATTCTGCTTAATCTTCAATGTGTGTTTCGTTACGCGACATTTGAAGCTATATAAAACATAAAACAAAGAAGCACAGCTGTTTGTACTGCTACTTATAGACAATATATATTTCCGTATACCAAAGTCTTTATGTTGTTGGAATTGCGTGTCTGAAATATATTATTTGCAGACTGTGTCAGTTTTAACGTGATATACTGCTTTGTATCCGACATTTTGATTATCTTTAAAAAGGTTATCCCTTGAAAAAAGACGCAAATAATTTTTGAAACTTTGAATTAGTAGCAGGCACGAAATGTGATTATATTTTTGTCTATGTATTATAATTTAGATGGAGAGTCAGACAACGCCAAGATAGATAATAGCAAGTGTTACAAAATGTTGAGGTAAATTTGTAAGACTTTGCTCATCCGTACATTTTACTGTACGATAAATACGTTCAATCGCCAACAACGTGATGTTCAAACACGTATCGAAATGGTCGACAATGGAAATTTCAGCAAATTTGAAAAGCAAGCTCTGCGCTCAGAAATCTAGCTAATATCCGAACTACATATTTGAACTAAACATATATAAAGAAAGTTGTTTTTTTTAACGCTCGGCTGAAAGCGTATTTCTTCTCGAGGGGCGTCGTGGGGGGTTCAATGACAATGTTTTAGCTTTAGCTTTACTTGTGGAGAAAGACTCACGTTGCGTCGTGCATGAATATGTCAGGTACATGAGAACACCTACGTAGAACCAACGAACTTTCGATGTTCCGTAAGCTAGCTGGATAACGTTTCTGATATAAGAAAACATTTTCCTAGCAGAATGTAAGCCTAATAAACTTTCGTTTGTGGTAATCAAATGTTTATTTGTTGATTTCAACAAATGATTCTTTTACCTCGGGACCATCTAGGTTCCAGAACATAAGGCTCGTAATCTCCCTTGATTAATTCTTCCAACAACAGTTTGTCTCCTTCACGCTCGATAACTTCCTCTGAAAATAGATCAATAAAAGAAATAATATTGTGAATTTCAAACATTTCTGAGTTTGTTCAGTTTATGTTAACAAAAAAGGTTCTTTTTTTGGCGTAAAAGGGGAAGGGCCTAGAGTTGCATTGTAGAAAAAAAAAGGGATTTTTGGGTGCTCATAATTATGATAAAATTAGTATTTGGTTTTTCCGGAAAACGGAAAAAAAATTACAATAAATTTATTTTAAAATTTCAATCGAGAAATAAAAGTGGTTTTTAAAATTTCATGAAAAAAACAAAAAATTTTTGATTTTTCTTTTCAAATTTCCTTTTAAAAAACCTAATAAAACAGGATGCAAATTTTATTTTAATTACACTTTTAAAACTTCTTTAAATTGTTTTGAGGAATTTTTTTTCCACATTTTGATTTTTCTACATGTACACATTTCATAAGTAAAACGCATGTCATGTTTATGATGTAGATGATATATGATGTAAACATTTATTTTGTGTTTTAGGATCTTTTTCGTTGGGTTTTAGGCCGCACTATAACAGTATAGGTGAGGTGGCGACCTCTTGGTAGAAGTAGACCTCAGGTGCCCGATTTCGAATTATTTCACGCATAAACGGAAACCTGAGTAGAATCATCAACGTTCCGTAAGCAATATCGATAGCTTTCTCTCATAAAAATAATTTGAAGACGCTGGCGAGACTCGAACCTACAGCTTCTTCTCAAAATCAATTCAATCTAACTGCTATTCAGTCTTATGATTAAATATATTCATATTTGTTGATACAGTTTCCTTAGACGTATTTTTACTTTCGTATTCGTTACTGTATCTATGTATATTTACAGAATAAATTTGGCGAGATTTTTTTATAAGAATAAGTAAAAACTAGATTGCCAATTTTTGACACCTTAGATTAACCAAATTTTTGTTCATTGTTTAGTGTAGATAATAAATAAAGATAAATAAATTAATAAGTAAATAAAGTTTGTGTAGGCATCTTTAGATTTTCACGCAAATTAAAGTTGAATAGATAATAATATAGTAGATAGATAGCTGAATTTTATTGGGGCATATACAAACAAATTTGGATTCTAACCGTTGTCTATCACGGTATGGAAATTGAATTTATTTTTATTGTAAAAGTATTAAAGCATGTCCATTTCCAGCAATATCAAAAATATGTCCTATTTAAAGAGTCAATTGAAATATTTGTTAACTATTGCTAATATATATCGTAATTTTGTGAGCGGTAGTGCACCGTTAAGCTATAGCGGATAAGCTGTTTTTTACCATTGTATAATATAATAATTCCAGCATTTGCGGGTAAAGTATACTTTGTTTTGTTGTTTTCAGTTTTTACTTTAAGCCACACACCTATTATTAGATATTATAACAAAATAAAAACGGAATAATTATGTTGCCCAATATATCAACAGTTGCATTTTTCTGAATAATTGATCATATAAATAACTACATTATATGTTAAATCAATTGTAAATACATTATTGTATTGAATATTTGATGTATTGGATAGGAAGTCTACGGTGGATAATATGATTACCGAATTTGACCGGAGATCAATTATATTAGATATACAGATATACGTATAATTGAATTCGGTTTCTACATTGGCATAACATATTGTAGAGACGTGGTTCAAGTTATGAAAATCCCGAATTTAAGACAGTATGCCTCACTGTTTACAAACGTTCTAAAATGAACTATTACCTATACTTGTGCATGTACATACTTACTCTTATTAGTTTTTACTATATTATGCATACTTTATCTAATTTCATTTGGTTTTTCAGACAATACATGTGCTGATATTAAAACCCGATTATCATTCAATTATAATTGAATATAATTACTTATTTCCATATTTGAGTAAAACGTTTGTGTACGAAGTTTTTGATGCGCTAGTGTGCTACAATATTTATTTTACAACTGATGTAGTGCGTTGAAACAAAATATATGAAATTGATTCGGTCTTTTCTACCCTCCCCCCATAGCCCCCAAAAAATGTCATTCAGTCAATATATGTAACAACCCTGATGAATAAAATTTGTGTGGCAATTTTGAGCTACCATCACCACCACATTTGATTATAAACATTCTTGTTTACAGATGATTTCTTTTCTAATGACAGAAAGTATCATTTTCTTTAACAAATAAAGAAGTAAGTCATAGAACAAGAAATGGGTGACATTAAACTGTTTTAGCATTGAAAGTTTCGTTCTTTTATTTGTTACAACACTTTCTATGGTGGCTGATCTACGCCATGTTGTATGTTCGCTTCTTCGCCTCAAAATGCGGAAATTCGAAAACACAAATAGGCGACAAAATCCAACTTTTGCATTTTTGCATTTTAAAGGCGAAGAAACGAAAATACGATATGACTTTAATCAGCCCCCATAACTTTCAAATGGCTTGGTTGACTTATGGCCAAATTTGGCCCTGTCTCGGAATAGCTTAAGCATATATATGTATGAAGGCACAATGTCCAACATTGTGAAACACCATTTGAGCCGCGTCACGACAAAACCAACATAATGTATTTACGACCAGCATGGATTCAGACCAGCCTGCGCATCCGCGCAGTCTGATCAGGATCCATGCTGTTCGCTTACAGACCCTATAACAAGTAAACAAACTGATAGCGAACAGCATGGATCCTGACGCAGATGCGCAGGCTGGTCTGGATCCATGCTGGTCGCAAACCCACTAAGTTGGTTTTGTCGTGACGCGGCTCATTGATATTTTGCAATTGATCACTATGTTCAGTTGTAACACTACATTATATAATAATCTCACCAGGTGTGACAATTATAACTGCGACAGACACACAACTGAACACAACCACTATCACCAACAGAGCTATCCCTATACCCTTCCAATTCTTCTCCTCTTTTTCTTCTTCAACCAATTCCTGAAAATATATAAAATAATTCCATCTTTACAATTGTTGTGTGAAGACGTTTATAGGGTATTGTACGAAAGACCGGTGGGGACATTTCAACTTCATGAATTCACGATTTCATCTTCTTGAATTCCCGACTTCAATTTCTTGAATTCCCGATTTCAATTTCTTGAATTCCCGATTTCAATTTCTTGAATTCCCGATTTCAATTTCGCGAATTTACAATTAATACTTTATGATTTCACAATTTCCTCTTCATGAATTCAAAATTTCAACTTCACGAATTCACGAATTCAACTTCACGAATTTAACTTCACGAATTCACAATTTCAACTTCACGAATGCACGAGTTCAATTTCACGAATGCACGATTTCAACTTCACGAATGAATTCACGATTTCAAATGTATGAATTCACGATTTCAACTTCATAAATTCAAGATTTCAATTTCATAAATTCACGATTTCAACTTCATGAATTCACGATTTCAAAAATTCATTTTCACGAATTCTCCTTCGTGAATTCAAGTTTCAACATCATGAATTCACGAATTCAACTTCACGAATTCAACTTCGTGAATTCACGATATCAACTTCACGATATCATGATATCAACTTTATGAATTCAAGAATTTAACAAATTGTTCTACCGGTCTTTCGTAGCATTGTCGCACACGTGTATTTTGGTGATATCATCTCTTCATAAAATATTGTATTAATTAGAAACGTGATTTTTGTATCATTGATATACAGACAAACACATGTTCTCATCATTTGGATCATTTTACTCATCTTAATAAATTAGTGCAACATAAAATATATACACTGTGATATTTACATTATGGTAAAACAACACTAAATATGTGCCGTTGCGAAAATAGACCTTCTGGTATGCAAACATGACCCTTACCCTAGACTGCAAGTGACATACACTACTGTAACAGAATTCATAAATGTATGTATTCTTCAAATAAATTATTATATCTGTACTCATCTGTTTTTAACCTTACTTAAATTGACATTATGACCACCAAAGAGTAAATGGTGAGTGTTCAGGTAAAATTGAAATAACTTTACATTTCGTCAAATTGGTTTTCATTTATTTTATAATAAACATGATCTGAGTAATCAATATCCCATGCAACCCACATATAAACATCTCATAACATATATTTCGGAAAATTTCGGAAATGTTAATCTATATAAAGAATGGGATAGTCATTTTATATTTTAAGCAGTTTTTATACTTCATCCAAAACATATTTAATCATCATTTTGTCTTCAATCGCTATTAAAATAGCCAATGCTTGGAAATATATAACTAATTTATCTCAGCTTGACTTGAAAAAGTGAGCATTAATGACACTTTAATAAGTGTTAGATACAAACCTAGATTTGGAGTAAAAACACAGAAAACCACCACCATCACCCCAACAACAACAACAACAACAATAATCATATAATGATAATTATGATGATGATGATGATGATGATGTTATATTGTACGGTATTTTCCAAATATGCCAATAATTATGTTAAGACTAATGTCCGGTTACCGGCGGTATATATTTCGTACATACTAAATTGTACGGAATATACGTATACCGTGAGTAACCACTGATGTTTAAGACTTAAAATAACATTTTAGTTTTCTTTATTGAAATAACTTTAATAACACTGTACGTTACGTACATGTGCTTCACTAGCCATGAGTCTTAACAGAATGGAATGTAATGAATTTTAATATTTGTCTTGTTCATTTTGTCAAAAGTGTTTCACTTAATTAAATACATGTATAGGGGACGGATTAGGTTTATCATTTGATAATTCCGTCACGTGATTGGTGTAAGCATTAGAGATTTTCATGCGCAACCTCCAAATATATATAAAAATGTATGTTTTCGCTGTTTTGTGTTTGTTTTGTTGCTTTCATGTTGTTTTTAATCAGTTGGTTTGGTGAAACCTGCTTTTTATCTATGTTTATGTTGTTTTAACGTTACTGCTGGAAGAAGTGTCGAGTCGCACTCGCACAGGTTCCTTAGTTATGACGAAATAAACACACACGACGTCATCAGTTAAAATGGTTAGGTTTTTGGTGTGAATTTTATTTGTATTGAATATATTCACGTTTTTCTTTGCAACAAAAGTATAATTGACAGGTTACCTTTGTAAAAAAAAGACGTGTCCAAGAAAATTAGGTCGCATCTTTAACTTGAAATTATAAAAAAATATATTAATACGCGACTTGTAACACAATGAAACTCATTTTGTAAATTGAATTTTTTTTTTCTTTTCAAATAAAATCAAAGATAAATCTTTAGACTGAAGTGGAAAAAATGTAATATAAAATAAGAATTCAGTCAAGATATAAAAAAAACTTGTTAAATCGCGCAGTATTTTTTCTTTTTGTTTTACTTGCGCTGCTTTTAACGTATTAAACATGATTTACGAATTTGCAAATTATGCATCGTTGATTAGACACAGGAAAAAACCTCAGCACATCACAAATAATTCAAACAACCCACCAAAAGAAGAAAAAAATAGGTAAAAGAAAATCGAGTGCTTGAGAAATGAAATATAATTGATAGTCATTGTAGTCATTTTATAGTTACCTCTAAATCCACAAGTTGTTTTGATGTGTTTCGTGCACCTGCCTTCTTCCGGCAAGTCGGCTGCTGACCGTTTGGCGCGTGCTGTGAGGACGCTGCCGCGTGCATAATTAACGCTTAATGTAGATAATCTTAATATGCATGTATTTGTAAAATACATTTAAGAACCATTACAATCAAAATAACTACATAATCATTTATAATTTTCTTCTTTTGTTTTGTTCTTATTTATTGAACAGGTAAACGTTTGAAATCAAAATTATTATTAAAAGAATACACAATATTTTCAAAAAAGCGAGAGTCACGTTGCGTTCGATTATTAAAGATATCAACATAAGCACATAAATCGACAAAACATCAGATTAATCCATTATTATTGCTCCTGTCTTTTTTATTGAGATCTTAAGACACAAATTATCATACTCCTTAAGTCCCTAAGTGTACAAAACATAAACAGTCCAAACAATTTAGAAAATGTTATGCATTCTACATATACAGAAACACTACAAGTCACCCATATAGAAGTTGCCAAATATTTTGATGTAGTTTTCGATAATGTAATTATAAGAACAAATAAGTTTAACACATGATACGGTGAAACTCCATCCTATCACGCAATATAATTCCCTTTGAAATATTAACTGCCAATAGGTCATTATTTATTGACTTCATATAGAAGCTTGAGATGTTACAGCGACCATCTATTTCTATATAAGATTCTATTAAACAACAGACTGTTTTCTTTACATTTGAGTATTAATCTATTCATTAGGGAGGTTGTATTATCATTTGTTTGCTTTCAGGAAGTCATATATTGTGCTCTGTTAGTCGTAAAAGGAGCAGAAGAAAAAAAGGATTCTGTAAAAAGCACACATCAATGTTCACATGTGAGTCATATTGAGGCTGGGGGAATCATTTGGCGCGAAATTTACGTCTGCTTCCTCTTATAAAGTAAGTAGTTGTATATGAGCTAAATAAAGGTGAAAAAATGTGCGAGCTAGTCTGGTTCCCAGAACTATGTTAAGGTGTACTACTTGGCCTAATATTAGAAACACTCAATTTAAATATCATAAAAAATACACCTTATTAAACTTTTTTTAAAGTATTTAAACAGAACGAAAAAACAATTATAAAAAAATCATGAGTTACAGCTTTATATCCTTAACATATTTCATTATTTAACTGTTTTGTTTGAGTCAACAGGCAATCATAATTATCAACGTTTTTTCTGCAACAAATATTACGTAGCATTAGTTATGAAATCAAAAGCACAAGTGTTTAACTTCATAAAAAGGTTTGTTTATTTTTTCATTTGATCGTAGACACCTTATTAGCATATACACACTTTTTGATACATTTAAAAGTAATGTTCTATAGATTAAACTATTGATTAAACTTATACCATAATTAATCATTTTCTCGGAACCATACCATAAAGTGTATTGAAGCATCAGCTCCCGCCATAAAATGTATAGATGTTATGCATATTTATTGCTCAGAACCTTTGATCGGGACCAACCTTAACTAAATAAGAAAGTATTTCAGGCGGGTTATAATACACAAACCGAGCAATTTTATTACTTTAACCCCGTGCTCCAGTACGTATTAGCTATAGCTTCAAGTCCCTGTAGATCTGTATATAGAATAGTTTATAGTATCGTGTTAACACAAGACGAATAAACCTACCAGCCTCGTTTTGGAATGGGTCATTAGCAGAATAATAAATGAGCATGGCGGTCTCGCGATGCCAATAATCACAGGAACAAGAATAATCAAATAAGACGGACTTGTCTGAAACAATTGCTTGGGATCTAAGAGACATACGTTATGAATGAAATGAATATATACTAGATAGAATTTAACATAAATTACCTTGTGAGTGACCACCTTTCCTACTTCTAGACGCTTCACATGACATAGTTCTGTTAAGAATTTTGACAATAGTTCTGTTTAGAATTTTGACAATAATTCTGTCAATAATTTGACAATAATTCTGTCAAGAATTTTGACAAATTCATGTCATTTTCCCCTATTCTCTTCAAAGACAATGTAAATGTATCTGGATGGGTGAAATTTTATGTGGGACACACCACAATCTTTTGCAATAATTAAACAGACAGAAATTATACCCAAGTGATGTTTACGACTTTTATATATGCACCACCTCATATGTTTTCCTATTCCCTCCAAAGACAATGTAAAATGATCTGAACGGATAATAATAATGATAATAATAATGATAATAATAATAATGATAATGATAATAATAATAAATAATAATAATAATAATAATAATAATAATAATGACAATGATAATATATGATAATAATAATAATAATAATAATGATAATAATAATAATGATAATAATAATAATAATAATAATAATAATAATAATAATAATAATAATGATAATAATAATGATAATAATAATGATAATAATAAATAATAATAATAATAATAATAATAATAATAATAATAATATAATAATAATAATAATAATAATAATAATAATAATGATAATAATAATAATAATAATAATGATGATGATGATAATAATAATAATAATAATAATAATATATAATTATAATAATAATAATGATAATAATAATAATAGTAATAATAAAATAATAATAATAATAATTATAATAATAATTAAAATAATAATAATAATAATAATAATAATAATAAAAATAAAATCAAAGTAGAATAATTAATTAATTAAGTATGAAATACTAAAAAAAAATCCAAACTTCAATTTTATGTATAAAGTTGACATTACGGCGATTTTTTTATCATTATTTAATTATTTTGTCTTATTAATAAAGTTACACAGCAGACAAAAATACTGTAAATTAAGCTTCATCTTGTCTAAACATCATGTATAACAACTGACCTCTGGATCAAACAAGCCGCACACAATTAATGTATAATGCAGATAGCGGACTAATTTTACACCAGAACAGATGTTCAATTAACACAAATACTGATGAAATAAAGGGATGAATTATTCATGATAATTATGCGTAAAATGTACTTGATCCGATATATCAATAAACCGTTACATCTCGGACATATAATTTACTTTTAAAAATTTCAGTCGGTGAGAATGAGATTAAAAAATAACAAGTTAGACATAATCGATAAATCATGTAAATCAATTCTTTTTCAAATAATCGAATTATATTGTCAAATTTCATATGATCAACATTTTCTATAGTATTGAATGTATGTTCTACATAGAACGCATGTGCGCGAAATAATACTTTTTTTACTTCCGTTGTTAGGATGGTTAAATATTTTCAAATCAAATTCATATTTCTTATGAAAAACATGCTATGTAAGCAAAAGTACATAGCTGATATATATTTAAAGTCTGACTCGAAAGAAAAAATAAACAACTTCTTTCAATGTCCCATAAATCAGATAATATGGACCGGACTTAGATGTTAAGCTTTCAGACTGTAAAATTGGTTACCATAACCATTCCAGAGATTACTTTGCGATTTATATCATTTTAAATTAGCAAACAATTATTTTCCCTACAAGTATTTGCAATTGGGATATTTACCAGAGCCTTTCTACTATTTCTGCAAATTTTGTAACGTTTAAACTCTGTTTTTTCCCCTGACAAAAAAACGGTATAGTAACCTATCAATTATTTAAAAACAAACCACAGTTTCATTGTATAATTTACCAAGAAAATATCATCATTCTCATGGGTCAGTATTTATTTCTTCTGACCTATTTTGTTTTATACATAATGAATGACAGTTTATTTGGCTCTGAATGCTTCTTTAAAATAAAAAAAAACATAGCATATAAATTAAACAAGAAATATAACATCAAATAGCAACACCCCCATTATAATTTGCAATCTTGAAATAGATTTATTCAATACTGTGTATAATGTGGCCAAGGGGCAAGTGATATTAAGAAGTAATTTATTTCCCGCAGCTTTGACAAAAAATAGCTTATTGTTATTTTAACGTTTAAGGCTTTTTCAACAATGAACTTTTTTCCTTTTTGTTTTGAATGTTTTAAACGATGCACAAGTTGTTCTTTTCATGCACAAGTAGTTGGCTTGAGCTTGCATTTAATTTAGGTTTGCTAAAGGCATATCAACAATGAACAAGTTTTCTTTTAATTAAGGCTTTTTAACAATAAACAAGTTTTACTTTTTACGAAAAATGTTTTTTTAACAATGACCAAGTTTTCTTTCACGATAAAGGCTTTTTAACTATGAACAAGTTGTTCTTTTTATGATTAAGGCTTTTTAACTATGAACACGTTGTTCTATCTACGGTAAAGGCTTTTTAACCATGAACAAGTTGTTCATTTACGGTAAAGGCTTTTAAACAATGGGCACGTTATTATTGTTAAGACATTAAATATACCCTGGTCGTTTAAACATTTTCCAATTTTTGCCAGACTGTAATGAATGCTTGAATCTAATTTGGATTATTTTTTTCAAATTTAACTGTCTGAGCGTTACTAGTGCTCTACAGGGTGTCATATGAAGTAATTGTCATTGCCCTAGTGTGTCAGTTTAACCTTCTGGCCATTGCACTGCTTCATACCATATCAATTCTTCTTGCTAAGAATATCTACATCAGGTAAAATCCCCTAGACTCTACTGAGACCAACCTTTCTGTCTCGCCCATTACTAAGCATCGTCAACAATTATTATATCTATATCTGCATATTTTCCTTCACGATTTTTTTTAGCCTTATCAAATGATGAAAACAGGTCTACCAAATACGTCTGTATTGTATTGCAATACAGATAACAGAATGGCATGAATTTATTAAAATATAATGTTATGAACGTTTTATTTTATGTTATTATATTACATTTTCTTTTTTTCTTTTTGTGATGACCAAATGCCTCATTCGCTTCACTGCAAACATATGTCCGGGTAATACTTTCGCATAATTATGACCTTTTTGCCATCAAATACGCGATATTACGCATCACATTACGGTACATTAATCATGAATATTCGTACATTGTAACGCTTACATTCATATAGGCTGAATATGTTAGAGTTATGCAAATGACAAACCATTTTGTAACAAGAAGATATAAAGCAGGATTTTATTGTCGTGTTCGTTTGAAGACAGCCGGAAAACTGATAACAACGTGTGACGGTAATGAACTGGAAACGAGTGAGACAAACTTAATCATATTTCATCGAATTATTGTCAAAGTTCTAGCAACATAAGTTTGCTTTTTGGTTCATATGATGATGCTTACAATTTTAGAAATTGAGTAACTTTGAAAATACTATCAGTAAAGTAATGTATAAGATAAATCGGTCAACTGAAGATGTAAAAGATATTGCCTGTAACCAAACTTCACTGTTCCTATAACTACAAATCTGAAAAATTGCAGAAAATTGTAAATAAGATATTTAATCTGAAAAAATATTTAAAACAGATAATTATCCAGATCAGCCAATTTCTATAATATTACACTGTGCTCAAGAACTTTGTTGACAATATAATTTTCATATATATACTTTAGGCGTTGGAAAACACACAATAGTAAAGTAGCCAACGAGCTTATGGTCAATATTCAAAAAGTACTTTTTGGCTATAAAGATACTAACACAATAAAACGTTTACGATATATTAGTCTATTAGCCATATACAGATTTGTTGATACCATTCAGTCTTATTTTTTGGCGCCAAATATCACAGGGGGAGGGGCGGGAGAAAAAGGTAAAGCCCGATCGAGACTCGAACACGGCTCACTTGGAATGCCATTCCTTAGTACCACTGACTGGGTCTTTCGGCCCGTTTAACAAACCTGTTGGCATATCAGTAAACAAATCTTTACATGACACACAATGAATTATCTTGCTGTCAACATTATACAGAATATCATCTAAGATGACTTTAAACACCGACACTTCCATGTAACTTATATTCATAAATCGGATGAAAATATAAGCTTTAAAATAAAGAAAAACAGAATTCATAAATGGAACGTACGAAAGAAAAGGATAAAACTGAAAATGTTACAGGCTCGTTTTGGATGAGCCTGTTCATCCACGGTAGTGGTAATAGTTGCAAGCCACTGTTCACGCCCTCAGGTAAGATGTCTCCATTGCAAACACCTTAGGCAATTGTTGTGCAAATGTCCGGGTTTTGGGGGTGGGTTGGTTTGTCTTTCTAATAAATATTTTGAGCGTCTTGATCGCTCGTCCTTTCCATGGAGGTAAATATAGAATATGAATAATATAAACGAGTGAATGCTGAACGATGATATAGACACGTTTATGGGCGTTATGATAAGCGTTATATATACACACTGTTGTTTTCAATTATTTAAAGGTCCGTTCATAATAAATTTGTTTTGGTATGCAGATGAACTCTTTCGATTATGAAAATGATCTAACAAACATATAGACCGCTGTAAACAGTTTCAATAAAGTTAATGTTTTTTTGAAACAGGTTTTGAACATACGTTAAAACCTCACAATTTAAGACAAGTTAAAACATGCATGATGCTGGAATAGAATTTTTTTGCAGCAATCAGAAACGAGCATGAAGTTATATGATTTGTACGAGTGAGCGTAGCCGCCGAATACAAATCAGGTGATTTTCTTTCTCTTTTGTATCGTAGGAATACCTGAATTTCAGTTACTTAGAGGTATACCATTTAATTATGCCTCATTTTCAATAGAAAACCCTCCAAATGGATGCTATAGAATAAGTGTAGGTTCAAGACTGAATATGTTGAACGAGTTCAATTAATTCTGTAATGAAGCTACACGAATGTCATATTCTTTTTAAAGAGTAAGCACTTTCCACCGACGCGTCTATAGCGTCATGATAACGCTAAGCGCGTCTTTACGCTATATTCGTATAACGTACGACGTTACGCCATATTATATACATGGCCATGCATTACC